TACATTAATAATATTATAAAACATATTATTTTTATAAGAGTATTGCATTTGTTAATTAATTTTCTATTTCATATTAATAATTATATTATGTACAAATATAATAAATTAGTGTTGATTAATGATTAGGTACCTGCAGCGAACGAAGAAATGTTAGAATACATATTTGGTAATGTTTGCTGCGTTTTTTTTATAGGATTCGGATGTTCAATTGGTGTATTATTATCCACCTCTATTGACGGTGTAGATTTTACAGGTAATGGATCATCAATATTGTTCTCATCTATTTATAATTTATAAAATTGTAATTCGAAAAATTTCAGTCAATAGGGGGTGTACGGTACACCGTGTACCTATATTTGTATCTATGTATCTATGTATTTAATTTAAAAGTAATAAAATATTTTTTTTTATATAAAAAAAAGCGATACTTACCTTCATTTACTTTTTCTAATATTATTTTTTTGGTGTTCATATTTTGCAATGTCGGTTGCAGTTTTCTTTTTTTTTCATTAGAATCCCGTCCTTTTTTAGCTTCCGTTATTAAATGGCTTCTTAAATTTTGAACACCACCATTTGGTGTTTTATAAGTTTTAGTACAAATATTACATTTGTACATATATTGACTTAGTTTTGTAAAATATTGGAGAATACGCGGAGAACTCCATTTTGAAATTTCATTTATGTCAGTTAGGTTTAAACTCATTTTTAAAATAATGCAAAAGAGAAACTTATATATTATTATACAGTATACACAGTGCGCGACAAAAAGGTAAAGGCACAACGTTTAATACTAAGATAATTTATAGATTCTATATGTACTGGTCAACTTCGGGATATACCAAAATGATAGCAATTTTATCTTATTTTCTTGATTTATTAGATTTTGTTGCGACAAAGTCATAAAGGAAGTCGGTTTCGTAGCGTTTGAAACGGTTGTATGATCAAATTATCTATTTCATACAGTAATAATATTATCGTATATACATATATATTATCGTGCACATTGTGGTTGGGTTGTAAGTTATAATATTATCGTACATATACATATATATTATCGTACACTTTGTGGTTGGGTACATATTTTTTTTTTACTATATCTATTTATATTCGATGATAGACCTGTGCTAATAATGGTAGGTAGTTTGTAAATATATTATATATCGATGTGCATCGATGTGCATCGATGTTCATCGATATATCGAAACTAAAATATCGATGCGATATTTTCGATATATCGAACACACAATATCGATGAAACGATAATATCGATATATTTTGCGCATCCCTAACCATCGACGATCCACGGACCACGGACAGCCTGCGGCGGATACGACATACGAGACATCAAGTTTTTTCACAACGTTGACCGTTAGACTGTCGAACACGCCGTGACATAGCCACGAGGCCATAGCGGCATCACTCCGTCGGCACTGACGAGCAGCACCTCCGCCGAACTTATCCCGGCCTACGTTAATACCGTCGGGTAACCGCGGGAACCAATAAAATCGTCCTTTTCAGGACGACCACCCAAATTCGACCCCTCAAGCGCGCCTGTTACGGCCACGCTACCCGAACGAAGTTCATAAACCGAACGCCACTTTTACAAGCGGGCCCGGTATATTAACTTCATTCCGTCCACTTGACTTGTATTATATCAGAAACTATTCACACTATTGTACGGGAAACCGACGGCCGGTGGCCCTCGAACCCTCCCCTTTAAAATTGTAAATAATTAATCATTCCATGGAAATAAACAACAATCTGTTATACTAAAATCCGAAGAAGTTTTCCATTATTGCACAACGGTGCCACGTGAAATACGTGCACCGTTTCAAGTGTCAAAGAATTTTCAAGTCTTCCTTCCCACTTTTTTTTACATTGTACTAAATCTAATTTTTTCCGCGCATATTTACAAAGACCAAAACAGATACCTATCTGACTATATTTTTATTTATATTAAGACTTTATAGTTTGTAATTTAAAATTGACTGTAGACCCAGCTTAAACACAATATTATTTTTAATTAAACATTATTTTATATTTTAATGTCCTTCATAAATTACAATCACATACAAGAGTCCGTGCGGGACCTCATCCCATTCAGTGGCGTATATAGGGGGTGGGCACAGTGGGCTGCAGCCCATCCATCCCCGAAATTACAGTCTTTTTAAATAGAACAACAATATATTTTCTTAGGTACTATTATAACTTATAACTTATCAGTTATAATGTTTCGTAGCCTGTTGAAAAATAACAAAAAATTATTTCTATATACGCCACTGTTCCCATTTAATTGTTTTGCATCCTTAATAAATTGAATTCATTTTTATACATTTTCTAATATAATATTACGGTGATACACCTCTGATCATAATAACTGTTCGTTTCTTTTAATGTAAACAATACCTAGTTTTTGGATTGTGGTTAAAATGTACTGCAGTATTTAGCTTCCAGCTTCCTCTTTTGTTTAGAATTATTATTTCACCCAGGTTCCTCATACAATAATTTTTTTGAGTCATTTAACTCTAGTAGATTGTTTTGTATAAATATTTTTAAACACTAACCGGCTATACCAGCGAGTAAACTGAGTAGCTGTGTACTTACTATATAATTTACAAACCTGGAGGTTATAGAATGCAGTTTCTAGTTCGTACCTATATATTTTTTAAGTTTTTTTTGTTTTGTAATATGCATTTGAATATCGGCGCCAACACAACCATTCGATTTTTTTGGGGGGAATTTCACTATATTTGAATTTTTCGTATAGACATGAACATTGATAACCTGTAGGTAACCTATGAATAATCTTTCATAAATGAACTAAATATTTTAAATAGTTTTTTTTTTATTAAGATTCTGGACATTTTAGTTTGAACTCCTTATTATGTGGTCCTATTGTATGATTTCTTCTAAATTTTGTTTTTTTGTTTTCTAATATGCATTTGCCTTCGGATGCCAACATTTCCCTTCAATTTTTTGGTAGGAATTTAACTCTACTTGAATTTTTTGTATAGACTTGAATATTGATAATCTGCAGGTGCCCTCTGTCTTATCATTTTTAATGAACTAATTATTTTGAATAGTATTTGAAACTCTTTAATGTGTGTTCCTAAATTTTTTTTTGTTTTTTTATTTGCTCTTTAAAACTCGTTTTCCTGTGAGTGCCACTTTCCCTTTATAATTTTTTTTCTATAAAATTTTTCAATTTTGTCGAGTTTTTAGACAATATTTAATGTTGAATTTTATCTCATTTTTTTTGATTTATGATATTAATTTGCCTAAAGGCTTCCATGTTCCCCTCCACAATTTTTTTGTTATTTAACTACTGCCAGTCTTTCTATATTTATTTTTTAAACACCAACAACCAGGTGAATGAAGAATGAAAAATGAAAAATTTACACATGCAGCTCTCCGCCAACGCTCCTGACACGAACCAATCTACCGCACGACGACTTCCAGTCATCCAGCACAGCATAGACTTACGTAAGTAGAAAATTCCTTTATATTCCCCCCCTGCTCGACCACGAGGCAAGGTACCTGAGGGATTACCGAGGCCGGGTCACGCACCGGTTGCATAAGGTTACCAATCCGCGAGTATTTTCGCCGACCATGACTCATCGTGGTGGCGTCGGAAGCAAAAAAAAGAAAATCAACACCACCTTATCCCACCGATAAGAAGGGTCGTAATCGGGCCTTCTCACCACCATCATTTCCATTAAACTCATGCCTTAAAGACTTATCTACCACATCGAAAAAACGCAAAACAAGCCAATCTAGCACTGTCTCACCTCCTGAAAATGCAATAACTCTGAAGAAGCTGGCCATGGCCACCAATTGTTCATCAATTCCAGACACGGATATTACCATTAACAGCATCAACCGTTCTCGTTCCGTTTCTGTGGATGGATCTGAGTATTCTGATTCTAATGATACCATGTCTACTCCCCCTTCGGACACTGACGAGACAAACAAAAAATCACTTAAAAATGACCCACAATCCGACAATAAACGCTCCACCCGCATGCTACCAATTCTGATCCAAACAACCACTGACCATCCATGGCGGAAAATAGCAAAAGCCATGTACGCAAAAACTCAAGGTCTCGACCAAGTGACCGCAAAAACTACATCGATTCCGTTACAAATCCAAATAAACTGCCCTGAAGAATCCTCATTCAGACTCGTCCAACAATTCATGACCATCAACAAAATCAGCTTCCACACTTTTGCATTACCCAAAGAATAATCTCTCAATATTGTAATTAAAGGTGTTCCACTTGACGTTACTGACGATGAACTCATGGAAGAACTTCTAGAGGAAGGTTTCAAACCAAATTTTGTCCGAGCTTTTGTAAAAAATGATAAAAGACTTCCAATCCATCCACATGGTCTCCCTAAAACGCACAGAAAATGTGAAAGAAATATTTGAAACCACCGAACTTTTCTACGTCCGAGTAAAAATAGAACCATATAAATCAACGGGTCTCGCCCAATGCTTTTCATGCCAGAGATTTGACCACTCATCACTTCAGTGGGGACACCCACCAAGATGCGTTAAGTGTGGAGCAAACCATTCAAACAAAGAATGCAAGAAACCGAAAGAAGATACCCCAACCTGCTGCAACTGTAATGGAAAACACACCGCAAACTATAGGGGCTGCCCATACTACACAGATATTTACAAAGGAAAAATAGACCACTCCAGAGAAGTAAGAAACAAATCCGTGCTGACAACGATGCCAACGCCTATACCACTACCCGCAACACACGAAACCACCATAGCATCAAAAATCAAATCTTACGCAAATGTAACAAAACACCAAACAGAAAAGCCCGAACCTACAATAAACGCATCCAAGCTCCTACAAATAATCAAAGACCTCCTTACAACAGCTCAAGAAAGTGAAGACGTCGCATCAAAAAATGCAGTCATCACAACAGTCCTGAGAATCATAAACGCCATTCCTACATCCTATGATGAATGACCTAAAAATCTTATCATGGAACTGCAACGGTATCGGAAACCGAATATCAGAACTGACAGCATTTGTAAAAATTCACAACGTAAATATAATCCTGCTTGGAGAAACCCACCTCGACCCCAAAACTCAGCTCAAAATCCCAAATTTTCATACTTACCATACAGATCGCCAACCACGGCCAAGAACACCTCCAAACGGGGAACCGCAGTGCTTATCCGTCGTGGCATTGTACATCAACCCGTAAATATTCAAACCGAACTCGAATCGACCTCGGTTAATATAAAACTCGAAAACAACATCGCCCAGGTAACTGCAGTATACAAAAGCCCAGGCGTTACAGTCAAACCAACAGATTTAGACGCGCTGACCAACCACGATGGTCCTCTCATAATTGGTGGCGACCTAAATGCTAAGCACACAGACTGGCAATGCCCACAACGTAACAAATCAGGCAAGACCCTTGCACAACATGCCGAGCGGGTAAACCGATACTCGGTCGTTGCCTCTGACTCGCCAACTCACTATCCCTACATCGCGGCCCATCGACCAGACATCCTCGATATTTTCCTGCTAGACTTGCCAAACACGCACTACCTCCTAACCAATCACTGCGAATTATCGTCAGACCATAACCCTCAGATGCTAAACCTATCATCCCGACCTTCAATGTGCGGGCCACCATCAGCAAGGAAACGTATAAATTGGAGAAAGTTCCAAACCGAACTAACTCTCCAAATAAAAAACATTCGCATCACCACCATCGATGACATAAACAAAAACATCGACCAACTCACCAAAGTCATCCAATCAGAGATCAAAAACTGTTCCTACGAATCGCGAACACTACACCAACCAAAATCACCACCTGATGACATACTGCTTGAGATTGATACCAAGCGTTTACTATGGAAACACTGGCAACGTACGCGCGACCCTCGGGTGAAAACGCTGTACAACGCACAGGTTTCCCATGTCAAAGATATCCTCACTCGCCACAGACAATCTGAATGGAATTCTTTTACTGCCACTCTCAATTTTAAAAACAAATCTATATACAAATTGAACCGACGACTCCTCCACAAACAACCAAAATGTCAACCTCTCAAAGCACCTGATGGGACAAAAATCTACGACACTAACTTAAAGGCAGAACTTTTCGCAGACACAATGTCAGCCCAGTTCCAAAACAATCCGGGCCCACCATGACCTGAAGTCACCAACTCAATCCAAACACTACGCGACCATGTAAATCCTCCATCAGAAGACTATGTTACGCCGAAAGAAGTATCTGACATAATAAAAGGACTCCCTTCAGCAAAACCACCAGGTGAGGATGGCATTACCAACAAGGCATTGAAACACCTTCCAAAAATTGCAATTATCCTCCTACCTTCAATTTCTATTTAGGAATTTGACTTTAGTTGAATTTTTTGCACAGACTTGTTTAATGATTACCTGCAGGTGCCCTCTGTATGATCATTCTTTAATGAGGTAATCATCGTCAGTTGTTTTTCTATTTAAGATTCTGGACATTTAGTGTATGAACCCTTCAAATTGGCTTAATATCGTATAATTCTTTCTTAATTTATTTTTAGTTTTCTAAAATTTAATTGCCTGCGGGCGCCAACACTCAACTTTAAATTTTTTTTTTGGAATTTGACTCTAGTTGAATTTTTTGTATAGACTTGAATATTGTTAAGAATCAGGTGCCCTCTGTATCATCATTTTTTAATGAGCTAATCGTTGGCAATATTGTTTTTTCTGTTTTGGATTCTGGACATTTTAGTTTGAAATCTTTAATGTGTTTTCCTACTGTATAATTTTTCCTAAATTTTTTATTGGTTTTCTAAAATGCAATTGCCTGCGGGCGCCAACACTCCCCTTCAATTTTTTTTTTTGGAATTTAACTCTATTTGAATTTTTTGTATAGACTTGTTTATTGATTACCTGCAGGTGCCCTCTGTATTATCATTCTTTAATGAGGTAATCATCGTCAGTTGTTTTTCTATTTAAGATTCTGGACATTTAGTGTACGAACCCTTCAAATTGGCTTAATATCGTATAATAACAACCAATCTTCTGAATAACGACGTCCTTTTACATTTTTTACTTTACTACAATTAATAATCTCTTTAATCAAAACACTCTGTGATTCATTTACATTCATATTTTTGTGCAAACCATCCACATAAGAATTTGACACTAATTCCATTTTACTTTTTAGTTCATTAAATTTTAGTTTCAAATTTTGAATAATGTTATCTTTCCTGATAAACAATAAGTTTTATAATTCATGATTCCATGAATGTTTTTAAAGATAAATAGTATATACACAACTTTACTATTTTCAAAATAATAAAAAATAATGTTACCTCAAATTAGATTTCTGTATGTTATGTTTAGTTTTAAATAAGTGTTTAAGAGTCTCAGTTCTTGTAGGTGTTAATGTTGGACCTAATTTTTTTTTTCTGTTTAATTTCAGCGATAATTGAATATTAGATTTCATAGCTCTTGAAATATTCATTAGCCGTACACACCATTTGCATCTTTGCTTAAACATATTATCAGTATGGAGTTCACATTTAAGACTACGCCAGACATTGTCTGGATCTAATGTTGCGTATTTTATTCTAATTCCTAATAAATTCAATAATAGTTTAAATTAATACAAATCTAATATTTTAAACTATTATACCTAGGTAAGTACATGTTTTGTTACCTGGACAATTGTCAACTGATGGTCCACCAATGCATGTTGACATTTGTCTAAATTTTAATATAGAGTGCTCAATGTCTGATTTGTTTGTTGGAAAATGTTTGGTTAAGAAAGTGAAATGTGATAGGTCTAGTTCTCTATTAGTGAAGTAATATTTTACACTTAAATCAATCTTAACCAAAATTTGTTTTTCAATCATCATCAAAAGATTTTCACTCATATATGATTTTAAAAAACAAAATGCCACAACATTATGTTCTAAATGATATGTCCAACCAACAGGCAAATCGATTGTAGGAACTATTTTAACAAAATCTTCAAATATTTCCTAAAGTAAATTAAGTAGAATTAAGTAAATAACACCACAAATTATTATATGAACATAGGTGTGCTCATGTGGGATACCTATATACATGTTTAGCAAAAATGAAAAATCAGATACTAACAATTTCAACATTTTCTTCTGGATATCTACACAAAGCTACATTTGAAGATAATTTTGAGGTGTGACTGGGTGAAGTTTCAAAAATAGAAGGAACTGCTCCAAAATTCAGTTCTGGCCGTGAACGTAGAGCCCAAGACTAGATATAAGTATTAAGTAATTGTGTTAAATAATTACATACAAGTAATTTGTTAATCAATATCCTATAAGTATACATTACATGTATTTTTTTTTTTATTATTTAATTTATAGAACAGTAATATTGAATGTATCAAATTTTTATACTACTCTACATCAGCATTGTTTACCTCAGAGCCTAAGTTTTCAGAGCCATAATATGTCCTTTTAATGTCTTCAGTTTTAAAATGTTTGGCACATACAAATTTGACATTAGTTTCTCTATTGTTAACAGCACAAACTACATTAATCCACTGAGATTTTGAGTAGTCATCTTTTGGTAATGAAAATAATGTTATACGTTCAGGTGTCACTTTGGAATTGCGAGTTGAACAATTTATAACGCTACATAATCGACCCATTGTAAATAAATATATTATAATTTTAAAATATTTTACTAAATAATATACTAAGCAGCTTAGATACATTAACTAAGATGTAGTAAGATGACTAGTAAAATGTACTCTAAAATCTATGTCATAATTGTATTTTATTCTTAAAATAAATGTAGAACTTTGTAGTTACTACTGATGTTAATAGATGGCGCTTTATTCACAAATGCACCGACGAGCAAGATTTTCTGACCGCATCATCCACCCCCTCCGCCCATTAGTGTTCAGTCCTGTATATCTTAGTTCGTGGTTTACAGAATATTTATGATCAGCAATGTACCTACTACCTATTCTGGTTTTCTATTTCAGTTATAGTTCGCATGCCAAATTTAACTATGCAAAACTGGTCCGCAAGTTTATAGACATTCTATTATTCGAATCCATTATCCTGTCAGGTCCTCTAGGCACAGTGTTTGAGAAGTTATACTTTTTTGGCACCTATAATTAAATTACAATATGAATTATTATAAGTTACCTATGTAGGTACTTGTCTAAAACTCGACTACCAGTATTGAAATAAAACAATGTGATTTAGGTAACATATTGGCTATTGATCTATTATAAAATAGACTTAAACCAAGGTATCAATAATATCATTATATAAAATTAATTATTTTTAAATGTGATAATTTGAAGACAATTTCTTAAAACCCCTAAAATATTTTTTTAATTAAAAATAAAATTTTAAATAATTTAAAATAATTCTAACACCTACCCATGGTGGTTTTACATAACAAGTGGAGGGATATTTTTGTTTTTAATTGTCCGTGCGAGTGACTACGTCGGGTATATATATTAAAATACCAAAAATTTCAATTAGCTATTTATCTTTAAAATAAGTGTGACCGCCAAATTCAGATTTCCCAGTCGTTTTCAAATAAAAATTAATGATTTCCGCAATATTGTTCTTAATTTGTTGTAACTTATAAATTATAATTAATTATATTAATTTTATTTTTATTATATTAATTAATTATAAGTTATAATATACATAGGATACCTACCAACAAAAAAAAATTGAAAAATTCGTGTTTGTGCTAAACTAGATTTGTTCCCAATAAATTATTATAATTTATAGTTAGGTATATTGTAAGTACAAATATTATGTTTGTAAAGTGTTAATGGGTGGGGGGAGGGGCGTTGAACCTAAAAATTTAAAAATAGATGCAAGTCGCCGTCGGGGCCCCTGAGCTAACGATTACCGGCCCTCTACAGGGGCATTGCCCCGGCTGCCTCTGCGATTGTTGCCGCACTGCAGTCAGGGGGCCCCGACGAAAATGTAAATTATAAAAAGTGGAGGGATGTCATCGAACCGTATCCCCCCACCCCACTTCGATCATTACAACTACCGTTTAAATGTTTTTAACGGGAAGCGCTTGCAGGATAGCTAGTTAAAATAAATGTTTAAATTGAAGAATAAAAATGGTATAATAGTTTGATCTTATTACAACATATTGTTTAATCTTTAGTTTATACATGGTGATCCACCAAGCGTGCTCACCAGCTCACCCCTATTTTTTCTTTTATAATTATTTTATCGAATTCTGATTTTTGGAATAGGTATTTAAGGAATGTCTTGTGTACAAAACTACAAACTTCTATATTTCAAATGAGAACCCACCATTTTTACTGTAAATTATTTAGTGAATAATTTTTAGAAAATTCAAAGTTCGAATGAGTAGTTTTTAGTTATTAAAATGTTTGTAGTATGGATTAAATAGTCCTCAAAAATAGTTTTGCAGAAATATAAAATATACGTTCTAATAAATCTAGTATTTATTATACTTGTCCATTTTTACAAATTATTAATATTGATATATTCATATTAATGTAGGTATACAATTTTCAAATCCCCATAGCCTCCATATTTTATGAACCCATTATACCATTGGTCTTTTATCCTTAAAACATAAAAGTTAAATAACTACACCTATGAATTTTGTTACTTACGTAAATATGACACTGAATCAATCAAAAATTAGCCATTAGGTATAAAATTACAGGATTTCGAAAAAAAAATTAATAAAACCGTACAGAACGCGTATGTTTTTTGCTCATATCGGCGAGATGGGGTCAGTTCTCCTACAACCAATAAGAACGGACTACCCCAATGTTACCAACTATGGAAAATCAAAATCTGAATACCGACCACAGATATAAAATACTTTATATAGTACTAGCTCTAAGTATAACTCGGGGCCCGTTGGAATCGCTGAGAGTGGGTACCGATTTTGGAGACAATGAATTATAAAAGTCGCAAAGGTTGTAAGACGAAAGTTTAGGATTTGTGATAAGGATTAGTGATATGGATTGGATATAAGGCTAGACGCTTTGGCGGGAATGTTAAAAGTTTGAGTGTCTAGCAATCCGTCACAAACGTTGTAAATGGATAGGCTGGATACGATCTCCAGGATCACCTATATAGAGTATACCTGCACATAAAGTGGTATGTGCCGTAGCATGCCCGGTGCTTTATCTT